CTCTCTTTGCTGGGTGTCGGGGGAGGGAAGGGCTGCCGGGCCCGGTGGAGAGGAGTGCGCGCGCGCGGGCACCGACTTCGGGGTGCACGCCGCGTGCGCCTGCCTGGGGGGCCTCCACGTGGGGCCTGGCAGCGCCCCCCTGGCACACCGGGCCGCAGGCCTAATGCTTGCAGGTGTACATGAGCTCCTCCTGCACGCACTGCTGGCACTCCACGTAGCAGCACCACTGCACCTGGCAGTGGCAGGAGAAGGCCACCAGGCGGCTCTGGGTGTCGTAGCCCCGCCCGCAGCACAGGCTGCTGCAGCTGGCCTCCCGGGAGCACACCCTGCCCGCCGTGCCGGGCGAGTACTTGCTGGGCCGGCAGAAACTGGGCGAGTCTTCCATATAGACCAGGTCCCCGGGCCGCGGGGCCGGGCCCTTGGTGGGGCTGCCTGGCCGGGCGGGCGCCCACAGCTCCAGGCGGCCCAAGGCCTCGTTGGTGGCACTGGACACCTTGACAGCTGAGTCATAACGCAGTTTTAGCGCCTGGCCCGTCTCGCGGAACGGGGCGAGCTGCTTCCAGCAGGTGCGCACGGCACAGGAGCCCGACACACCGTGGCACTTACATGTGGTCCTGAGGCCACTCTTCACTGCCTGCGAGGAGAGAGGGAATGCAGGCGTGGTCAGGGCCATGGCACCGGTGTAGGCCAGTGTAGACCCCGTCGGGGGCGGGGCAGCAGGATGGGCAAGAGATGGAGGGAAGAGGGTGAATGGGACCCAGGCTAGCCCACACGCCACCTTTGTGCAAAGTAGCTCGAGGCCACCCTGCCGCTGGGCCAACGTGCCCGCCTGGCGGAGAGCAATGTGGGCCGGATCTCAGCCCCAGCTCCCTCCCTTGGCCCAGAGTTCTCGTGGAGTGGAAAACCCGCACAGCTGAACGCGGCAGCCCTGGTTTACCCCGACTCAGTGATGAGGACACAGAACTCCATTTGCTAGAGAGCTTGAACCCTCGCCTCTCCCAGCCTCTCATCCCGGTAGGCTTAGACACCTTTTACCCTCCAGTCCTCCCACTACTGTGTGTCCTCTGCTAAGTCCCTCCCCTTCTGTAGGCCTCCTCGATCGTCCCATCTGTAAGGTGGAGGAAGAGGTGATGTTGCAAAAGATATCAAAGTTTTCAAACGACGTTGGCTTCCAGGATGTCCGGGAAGGACAGTCTCTGGCACGGGGACCCCTCTGCAAACAGGTTTCTGCCTCATCACGGCCGCATCCCAAGCCTGGCTCCCACCCGCCGCCCAGCCCGCCGTGCCATCCAGCACCCTTCCCTACTTCCCGCTACTTGGTACCGGTGTGGCTGGTTGAAGGGGTGAGGTTCCTCCTGGGACAGCTCTGCGTGTGCGCTGAGGGGCACGGCAGAGGCAGGCCTCCTGCCGACCCGGCTCCCTGGCCCTGCACCCTGGCTGGGGCCAGGCTTCAGGCCTCCCGGCAATGTGCTCACCTTGATGCCCACGTGGGTGTTGTGAGCGTCCGCCCGTGCCCTCAGGTCTTTGCTTCCTCTCTTGGGCCCCAGGAAGTTGCTCAGGAACTTGGTGCTGTACTTGAGGTTGTCGCCACACACGCCCCACTGCCAGGCCTGCCGGCTCTCCAGGCCCGGAGAATCATCACAGGTGCAGCGCTCCATGCGCCCGGCGCTGCAGGCCCGGGCCAGAGTGTGGGTGAGGGCAGCGGAGGACATTGCATACAGGAAGGCCGTCTCCTTGAAACCTGGGCCGGGCACCCGGGGGGGG